TGGCGTCTTGGGACCCCTTTGACGTGTTTTGGGGGGCAACATGGAGCCCTGGGACACCTTGGACGTGTTTTAGGGGGGCAACATGGAGTCTTGGGCCCCCTTGGATGTGTTTTAGGGGGCCAACATAGAGCCCAGGGACCCCATGGATCTGTTTTGGGGGGCAACATGGAGCCCTAGGACCCCTGAGATGGATTTTAGGGGGCCAACATGGAGCCCTGGGACCCCTTGGATCTGTTTTGGGGGGCAGCCTGGAGCCCTGCAACGCCCTTGGCCCTATTTTGGGGGGCCTTGTCTCTGCTGTTGTCCCCAAGCCCTGTGGCCACATCAGGGCCTCGTCCCTGTCCTTGTCCCCAAGCCCCCTGGTCCCTTGGCTGCACCGGGGACTTGTCCCTGAGCCCTGTGACCCTTTGGCTGTGTTAGGGACTTGTCCCCACCCTTGTCCCCAAGCCCTGTGGCCCTTTGGCCACGTGAGGGACTTGTCCCTGTCCTTGTCCCCAAGCCCAGCTGCCCCGTGGCCACATCAGGAACTCGTCCCTATCCTTGTCCCCAAGCCCTATGGTGCCCTGGCAACATCAGGAGCTTGTGTCTGTCCTTGTCGCCAAGCCCCACAGCCCTGTGACCACGTTGGGGACTCGTCCCTGTCCTTGTCCCCAAGCCCTGTGGCTCCTTGGCCACATCAGGGACTCATCCGTGCTGTTGTCCCCAAGTCCTGTGGCCCTATGACCACGTCAGGGACTCATCCCTGTCCTTGTCCCCAGGCCCCACAGCCCTGTGGCCACATCAGGAGCTTGTCCCTGTCCTTGTCCCCAAGCCCTGTGGCTCCTTGGCCACATCAGGGACTCATCCGTGCTGTTGTCCCCAAGTCCTGTGGCCCTATGACCACGTCAGGGACTCATCCCTGTCCTTGTCCCCAGGCCCCACAGCCCTGTGGCCACATCAGGAGCTTGTCCCTGTCCTTGTCCCCGTGGGCACACTGGGGCCCCATCCCTGCGTTTGTCCCCAAGCCCTGTGGTCCCCTGGCAGTGTCAGGGACTCATCCCTGTCCTTGTCCCCAAGCCCCACAGCCCTGTGGTCACATCAGGGACTCGTCCCTGTCCTTGTCCCCAAGCCCCACAGCCCTGTGGTCACATCAGGGACTCGTCCCTGTCCTTGTCCCCAAGCCCTGCAGCCCCATGGCCACATCAGGGACTCGTCCCTGTCCTTGTCTCCAAGTCCTGTGGCCCCGTCACCATGTCGGGGCCTCGTCCCTGTCCTTGTCCCCAGGCCCTGTGGTCCCCTGGCAGCGTCAGGGACTCGTCCCTGTCCTTGTCCCCAATCCAAGTAGCCCCTTGGACACATCAAGGATTCGTCCCTGTCCTTGTCCCCAAGCCCTAGGGCCTCGTCCCTGTCCTTGTCCCCAAGCCCAGCTGCCCCTTGGCCACACCGGGGCCTCTTTCCGAGCCCTGCAGCCATTTTGGGGGCACAAAGAGCCCCCCCCAACCCCTCTGTCCCCCTCCAGCCACGCCGGGGCCCAAACGCGTCACCCGGCTTCGCGTGGCGGGA